ATAGGATCCTGTTGAACAGTTTTAGGTCAACATTGAGCAATGATATAGGCCTGTAAGCTGGAGCAAAGCTGTTGGTCCTTGTCTTCTTTGGGTATGACCGTGATATGATCTTCAAAAGTCTGGGCTGGAAGAGCGGTATTGGACCTCTATACAGTTGTAAGCTGAGAGAAAGTGGGGATGAAGCACGTCCTGAAAATGTTTTAAATATTGAGATGGGAGGCCATCCGGGCCAGGACTCTTACCTGGTTTGGTCTGAGATGTGGCCAGTGTCCGTTCCTCCACTGAGATAGGATTTTCAAGAGATTGGCGAGTGGCGCCTCTAAGGTAGGCATGTGCGACTTCCGTATGAAGGCCCAAAACGTGCCTTTCCAGGGGTGTCCCAAGAAGAGGGTGAGGCTAGATTATAGAGGGTGTTGTAATATTCCTGAAAACAAAAGGCAATGTCTGGAGGCGAGGACACTACTTGGTTCTGTGACATACGGATACCTTGAATATGAGAATATCTCTGGTTTTTAACTGCTCTCTCTAGAAGTCTACCACATTTCTTACCGCCCTCATAATAGATGCCATTCCTCAGGGTAAATTCCCTATGGATTTTAGCATCCAACAGTGTGGCTAATTCCTTCCTGGCTTCTAAAAGTTCAAGATAGGTCTTAGCCACCAGAGACTCCTTATGTTGGGATTCTAGTTTGGAAATACGATCACACAAGTCGCACCTGAGCCAACCGCTCTATTCCCCTTTGCTGCAAGTGATATTAAGCGGCCTAGAACAAAATATTTATGCACCTCCCATACCGTCGGCGTTGAAGGTACACTACCCACATTAATCTCAAAGTAGGTACGCAAATCAGTAGAGATAGAAGACACTATTCTATTGTCTGACAGGAGGGAAGTATGCAGTCACAAAGTAAATCGTCGAGGTGTTGGCGAGTGTAAAAAAGAGAGAGGCCATAACTGGTCTGATGTGGGGATGTTGCCTATAGAGGAGCGTTTAAGTTTCAGTAAATCCCTCTGAGTGATGAATATGTAGTCTATGCGTGAATTTTTAGAAGTAGAATAAGTGAAATCCCTTCCGTCTGGGTGAAGTGAGCACCATGTATCAACAAACTCAGATCGTGAAGTTTAGTTTTCAAAAACGTGAGCGTCCAATAGGGTAGCAAGGATTTCTTATCTGAAGTATGACTCAGGGTAGTCAATGCCACATTGAAATCTCCTCCAAGGATTACCATGCCCTCCGACACCTCAGCCAATTTAGTCATAAGCATACTAAGAAATTGGGCATGCTGTCTGTTGGGGAAATTGACACATGCAATAGTCACAGGGGAACCCGCCACGGTGCCCTTCAGAATAAGGTAACGACCATCATCGTTTAGTTCCAACGTCACCTCTAAGGGCAGAGAGCGATGCAACAAGATAGAGACCCCCACAAGACTTGTTGGAGGGTGAGGATGCACGATAAGCCATAGGGTAAAAATTATTGCCAAGTTTAGGTAACTTGCCATGTTTAAAGTGCATTTCCTGCAACCGTGCTATGGAGGCCCTGTGATGCTTTATTTCTCCCAAAATCTTAGCTCTCTTCACTGGAGAATTGAGAGGACAACTAGATCATCCAGACACGCTATAAGCAAAAGGAAGAAAAACCCACCCAAAACAGAAAACTGACAAAGAGGGCAACAGGGGGGTGTGCGATGACCCCTACGGGAGACACAGACCCCAGAGGAAAAAGGGAAAATACAGAAACAGGACGATCAAGAAACGAAAGAGGAAAGGAATTGGAGGAGAGAGCAGGAAAAACACGCACAAAAAACCCACCACCCTAACAAGAAAAAAAACCCGGGACGGACTAACAGCCCGACTGTGAAGGAAAGACTGCTATAGGTAAAAGAAAGCGGACAGAGGAAGCGGAAGGCCGAAAAAGCCCTGTGCGCCCAGGACCAGCTCAATGGGTGATTCGGCAGTCTGGTCCAAGATGTAATTGAAGATAGACAGCAGAATGGAGAATACAGCATCTGGCATAATCCTTTATGGGACCCCAATATTGTATCGTCTCCCACGGTTGTCCAGATCCTCCAAGTGCTGCCATATATAGATCAAATTGTGTACCGTGCAGTCATGCTGAGAAATGAAGTCTTTGGATCTGCGCCTTACGTTTGCTGCTTGCACGTCCCACCTCATAAAAAGGCAGCGGCCTTTGTCTTGAAGATCCATGTGCAACTCCGAAACTGCAAACACAAAGCTTCCTTAATGTCAGAAAACACCTAATTGAACTCCAAACGTGTCGGGAGATGCTGGAGGTAAGAGAGGTGAGTATCTGACGAGTAAGTAAGCCCTGGCCGGGCGCGCTTGTGTGGGAGGGCTCGGTGTGGGAAGGAGCCCGCACCATATTGAAAGACGCTGTGCCTGATGCATCTGGCTGCTGTGTGCGGAAGGATTTAAGGCACTTAATAGCTCAAGCTGTGAGCCAGAAACAGCGGCCGACTTAGTCGGCATCGGGGGATTGACAATTTTCACCATAATAGCCACGGGAAGGCGTGTTGAGCGTTGTATGGGTCTCAGTTAGCAGGGGTTCTAATAGAAAGAGGCCATCAGCCTCGCAATGCAATCTACGAACCCAGCACCTTGCCCCTGATGCCAAGGAAAAAACTAGAGATTTGTTCAGTAGGTGGGGGGTGGGCCACCATCAGAGGCAGACCCAGGCTGTTTTTTGGCTTTTGTTTTGTGCCTAGCGCCCATCTCTTGCATGGGGTGCTATAACCCTGGAGGTTCCAGATCTTCAATCTTCTTCACAGTGTCCTTCAATGAACGGAAGAGAAAGAATGGATTTCATCGAGGGGGAAACCCCCCCCCCCCATAGAAACAGCAGAACACTAGGAAGTACCACACCATGTACCACAAGTACCACACCAGGCCCACAACTTTAGGAGTCAGTTGTGTTCAAGTTGTAGCAGCAGGTAGCTGTAGGTAGTGGATTGTGAAACTTGGCCATGGGTAGCAGTACTGATCATAAACTTGATCAGTTTATGTGAGGCAGTTCCTGTCAAGCCTGAAAAGGAGAGAACCTTGGCCTAAAAAATTGCGGCCAGGTATCCATTAGCATAAGGAATATATCCTTCATGTTTTGGATCTGTGATAGAAGGCAGACATGCAGATACATTTTAACCCTTTCCCTGCCGTCGCCATAAGGCATACATACAGAGGAACAAAACTGTTCCCAGCTGGCCAGGTCAGTATGGCTTACGGAGGCAGTACTGCCCCCTGTACAGTCTCCTTTATATTAATAGCTGTCATCAGCGGCTCAAATGCTGCTGATGACCGCTATTAAACAAAAATAATGGGCACCCACCCCTACCCCGCCGGCATCTGGAGCCTCTCATCCCTGCCTGGAGCCACTCCAGGCTGTGATCTGTGTCTGCATGGATCCCCGCTGCTCTCCCCCACTTGTAGGGGCTGTGGCAGCGGGTATACGAAAAAACATCCCCAACGGGCAGCTGGCGAGGAGCGAGCGGCAGCTGGCGAGGAGAAGCCGCAAGTTTCAGGATTCAGTTTCAGGAGGAGAGCGGAGCCGCTGTCAGTTTCAGGATGACAGCGGCTATGTGCGTGGCCGAGCGAAGGATCAGTAAATATCAGTGATATTTACCGATCCTCTGTGCAGAGCAAACACTGGAGTGATCGTCTGATCACTCCAGTGTTTGTAAATAACTGGGTGTAGTAGAGAACCAGCTGCACTCCTTACCGGAATAGTAGTAAACCCGCAGAGTAGGTGGGTGCTTGCAGTGACCACGGACGGCCCCGTGAAAAATGCAAAAATAGTAAGGATTGTCACCAGCACACCAAAGGTTTTGAAGCAAAAAGTCCTTTATTGACAAATCGCCATTCAATGCAAGCGCTTTCAGGGTCTCAGCAGTACCCCTTCATGAGGCTCAGAAGAGCCTGAAAACTAGGGATTCGCTCCATGAGACGCACACACATTTCCCCCCGCCTTTTGGGGAGCGAAAAATACATTTATAATAATGGAAAAAAAATAAAATGTAAAAAAAAATAAGTGTACATTTTTTTTTTTTTAAAAGCACAACCCCCACAACATACACATGCACCGTATTGTGGTGTATGCCATGCACACGTTGTTAGAACGCATTGCAGTGCATGGATTTTTTTTTTAAACATTTTTTTAACTGTGGCAGCGCATGGCTAAGCTTTGTGACACATTCCCATGCGTTGTGATACCTTGTGTTGCTATTAAATATACAACTGTATAATTTTAATCACAACACAAACACCAACACAGTGCAAAGACGATTTTTAACACAAGTCGCTTATTTACAGTTTTGCATACCTTCATTTGTTTACCTTTTCACAAAAAGGCGCAATTTAAAATGTTCAAATATTTGTTATTTATTAACTCAATACAGTTTTATCTTTTAGATTTAGTCAGAAAATACTTTTTTTTGTGCACCGATACTGATTTTAGTGTGCTTTATCAATTCGTGTATTTTTATCGGTTTAATATTAATTTGAGAAACATTTGCGCAATTGTCATAGGGCCTACAAATTTAGTGGCACCATTTTTTAATTCTACCGGGCCTGCACTTTCAGAAAATATATGGTTTTGGGGGGACTTTTACAAAAGCTGGCAACGCAGCAGTTGTAAATCAAATCAATGGGAAAAATTGAAAAAATGGCGTGGCCAGCTGAGGTGCAAAATGTTTCCTGGAGGGCTTGGCAGCGAAAGGGTTAAACGTCTCAACAAGGTTTCAACTTCTTATATAGCCAATTAAGTCTTGCATAAAATGGACAAAACAAAATACCATTTCATGGTCAAGCTTGCTCACTGAATCAGTATAAATAAAACAAATAGTTCCTGTAACTGTCCCTGACAACATTGCGTGTTTGCTGTGTTAAATGTTTAACCAATCATGTCTGGTTGTTTGCCCTAAGATATCTAATAAAATAGCTACCAAAAATGGCAACATTAAAATAATGTAGGAGATGAAAATTCTCACCTTGACAGGTTTCACGGATAGGTTTCTCAAAAATTTCTTCTTGATCAAATCCTTTTTTGGACTCCTGTTCTTTATAGGAACGGTAGAAGACAGATCTATTTTAAGAGAAAACAACAAAGTTTATTTTGTAATACAGGTTTCTTTTTTAGAAGCACCAACACCATTACAACTAGCAAATATGTATGTATAGCGTAATTCTATGAGAGAGAAGGGTGGGCCGAAAAGGGATGAAGGAAGATAAGGAAGAAGAGATACAGAAGGGAGGACGAACAAAGAACAGCTATACGTTTGTCTGAAAACAACAAAAACTTGTGAGGGTCTTCCCTTATATAGGCCACTGCCAACAATACCATCGACAAGTGCAGAGAGGAAACCTACCAACCAGGCCTATGTGGGTACAGCAGCTCGTAAAAAGCAAGAGCATGGTTCAAGCGCTGGGTATAGACGTCCTAACTACTCCCCACATAATGGAATCAAAATATGGTAAAGCCATACTCTCCCTCCAGCACCTAACACTGAAGCAGTGAGAGGAACACAATTAAAAACTGCCAGTCAGTATACTGATAATCCTTAGCCCCAAGGATCCTGGCAAATATCCAGAATTCAGCCAAAAAGGATTGAGGTCCTGGAGGGGCTTCCTGTATCATTATTCCTAGCGCTGTAATGTGCTTGCACACCTATATTACAATGGTATGTATGCGCCGTCCACATAATTCGGGACGGATTTGTTACACTTGATGGGTATAAAGCCCAGATGATGAGGGGTATATCTAGATAGTGGAGGAGGCTAGCTGATCACGGCTGAGGGAGAGTAGGCCAAAGTAGGGCTGCAGCTATTATTATGATAATCGATTAGTTGCCTGATTATTTTTTCAACTAATCAATTAGTTGCTTTTCCCCCTCAACTAATCGATGAGAATAGTTGCCAACTATTCTTTCTCATAATTATATACACACCACACATACACTACTCGCTTGGTTTCTCTCTCTCTGTTTTTGTGTACGAGTATGCATGCGTTTGGATGTGCATATAACATGTATAGTCATACACATTCTCTCTCTCATGCACGCACGCCAATCTGAAGGCCACACAAAGTTTGGAGGTCTGTAGCTATTGACTCAGCAGACAGTTGGCGACTCCTGCTCACTGTGCGCTTCAGCATGAGCTAACCCCGCTGTCATTTTATGTGGCCTACCACTTAGTGGCTGAGCTGCTGTTGTTCCCAGTTGCTTCCACTTTGTTATAAGACCACTAACAGTTGACCGTGGAATATTTAGTAGCAAGGAAATTTCACAGATGGACTTTTTGCACAGGTGGCAACCTTTCATGGTACAACGCTTGAATTCACTGAGCTCCTGAGAGCGACCCATTCTTTCACAAATGTTGAGTGGAGGTGATTGGAACACCTAAATCCAATTATTTAAAAGGGGTGTCCCAATACTTTTGGCAATATAGTATCTCTCTATCTCCATCAATATGTGTATTATTGTTATACAGGATTTATATAGTGCCAACACTTTTTTCTTTTCTGAAGATATGGGTAAACAACGCGATTTAACAGCCTTTGAACGTGGGATGATTGTTGGCGCTCTGAGCCATGGAGCGAGTATCAGCAAAACAGCAGAATTCGTTAAATGTTCAAGAGCAGCTGTTATTAAAGTGTTTAAAGACCGCACTGTCAGCCGAAAATCTGGGTCTGAACGTGCGAATTGTGGCCGTCAGCGACTATTCAATGTTAGTTCAGAACGGAGAGTGGCAAGATTGGTACAAGACAACAGAAGGGCAACAGTGCAGTGTCAGATTCCTTGCATCACCTTTCAACATCTCGTGGAGTCACGAGGCTGCCCAACGAAGTCATCTCGTGGCCCAACGAAGTACTGATGGGGTGGTCATAATAATCTGGCCACTCTGTGTATATGTGTATATAATATCTTTAAGGGTGTTCACCCCATAGGATGCTGATATACAGCTAGGTCCCCTCTTCCTGGATTCCACTCCTGCAGCCCCCTGGGGGGGAGTCGGATACTGGAAACTTCTGGCACATGACCCTGATTCTATGTAGATGGAAGATCTCATGTCACATTGGTTCACAGTAAGCTGTTCTTTAGATTGTATGGAAAATATGGATGCTACATGCATTATATTTAGTTAATATTTGATTGAGTGTTTATGATTTATTTATGCTGTTACAGCCTATTGGAATTATCCTCCTGAGTAAGCCATTTTGGCGAAACACGTAGAGGAAATCTCTGAAGTGTTTAGAAAGCATGTTAATACCAATGACATGTGGAATTGCATAAATATTGCACTTGATCACTTTATAGGCCATGTATAGGACAGAATATTTTGTCCTGATCCAATTTTCAAGAGTCTCTACCCTGTTTGTGGTATTAGGTTAGCTCAGATGTCATTTACCTTTCCAACATCGCCTCTATCTTCTCAGTTTGCATCTCTATAGTTGGTTTAGTGGAGACAGAGTTACGTATAGAGCGTAACTCACGATTGTCCAGGGAGGCCTGAGTGGTCGACATGACTGGCTGTGAGATGGTGCCTCGTCAGTCTACGCAAATGGGGTGACCTCCAAACAGCCGGTCCGTTGTCGGACAGGGAGGATTAGCGTGCATGAGCTGCAGGGAGAAGTGGTGTGGGAATGGCGGTATCCATCGTTTCACTCCCGGCCTGCGGGCAGTTGTTAGGCAAGCTCGTGGACAGTTGCTGTTTCGAGTACCGCAAGTTGGCCTGGGACCACGGCAGCAACGGCTGGAAAGGGAGGTCCAGAGAGGAGCAGCGTGCACAAGCTGCCAGGGGAAGTGGTGTAGGGCAGCTAAAATAGAAGAAAAATTTATTGCCATAGTTTTTGAAAAAGACCCAAAAAAAAAAAAAAAATTGTTCCAATGCATAAAAAAAAAAAAAGGTAAGGAGGAACAGGTGGGTGCCATAAAAGAGGAGCATGGGAGGTTGATCACAAATGATAGGAAGAAGGCTAAAATATTAAATGTATTCTCCTCCACAATATTTACTTTGGAAAAAGCTGCATCACGGTGAGGATTAAGCCAGGGTTCGCCAAGGACTAGAAAAACGTAAATAAATCCCAGGGACCAAATAACTTGCACCCACAGGTATTTAAAGAGCTACGCATGATTGTATAGCGAGGCCATTGTTCAGAATTTTTAAAAGACTGCATGCTGACTGGTAGGGATGTTCAGATACCAGTGCCGATACTTGGCATTTTCACGAGAACTACCGGGGTTGCAGCTGGGACCTAGTTCTGGCGCTCCACCACTGTCCTGTCACATGACAACAAAAATGTATCAGTACTTGTATGCAAGTACTTGGACAAGTATCAGTACTTGAAAAAATTGTATCGGTGTATCCCTATACGTTAGAAAAAATAATCATGCATTAAAACAGGGATGCACAAATCCCAGGAGCTCTGTATGCTCCTTAACAATGACAGCTGCCTCCTAACTTTTATTTTTTATTTTTCTCTAGTTTAGTCTTGCAGCTGTAACAGTATGTGTACATGTACTGAGTACGGTACTTGGTATCTGAACATCCCTACTGACTGGGGAGGTAGCAGCTGATTGGCGTAAAGCAACTGTTGTACCAATATTTTAAAAAAAGGTTTGAGATGTGTACCTGGGAATTACAGACCAGTCAGCTTAACATTGATAGTATGCAAGGTATTTGAGGGTATGATAGAGCTTTATATTAACAAATTTGCATATGGGCATGATATCATGGGTAAGAATCTACATGGCTTCAGGAAAGATCATTCAAACAAACCTATTAGCATTCTATGAGGAGGTGAGTGGCAGCCAAGATGGAGGAAAGCCAGTGGACAAAGTGTACCTTGAGTATGCAAAAGCATTTCATAACAGTACCTCAAACGCTTAAATTACAAGCTTCAATCTATAGGTATTGATGAAATGGTGTGTACTTGGATAGAGAACTGGCTAAATGAAGGTGTCCAGAGAGTGTCAATAAATGGCTTATTTTCTAAATGGTCCTCGGTTGGCAGTGGCATGCCCTAGGGTTCTGACTTGGGGCCATTACTGTTCAACCTGTTTATCAACAATATTGGGACTGGTATTATTAGCAATATTTTAGTTTTTGCTGATGCCAAAATGTGTAGGGTAATAAACATGACTGAAGACAAGGAAATATTACAGAAAAACCTGGATAAAAAAGGGAGGTGTGCATCTTCATGGCAGATGAGATTTAATATTGAGAAGTAAGCTTATGCATTTGAGTTAAAAATACACATGCAAGCTACTCATTAATGGGCCTTTCACTGGGGAAATCAGAGGTGGAAAAAGATTTGGGAGTCCTTGTGGTCAAGAGCCTTAGTAAAAACATGCAATGTCAGGTTGCAGCAAATAAGGCAAGCAGGGTATCATCATTAAAAAAAATACAAATCCATAATTATGCCCCTTTACAAAACTCATCTTGAGTATGCGGTTCAGTTTTGTTAACTGAAGGGGTTAGAGGACCTAAACTATGAAGAAAGACTGCAAGAATTAAACTTGTTCAATCTGGGAAAAAAAGAGGAGACAGAGGGGACATGATATTAACACACTAACAGTGATGGGATAATCAGTAAAACTCTTTACGGTTAGTTCACTTAAGAGGCCATCTGAAACTGGAAGAAAAAAAAGGTTTAATCTTAAAGTGTGAAGGGGATTCTTTATTGTGACAGCTGTAAAATTGTAGAACTCCCTTCCACAGGCAGCAGTTTCCGCTGGGAATATAGAATCATTTAAAACCTGTCTAGATACATTTCTCAGAGAGCAAGATATACAGGGGTACAGGTAATCTTAGTAACACTAACACAGGGCCTCTGAGTAAGTGAAGGTACCAATTGAAGGGAGCAGAGCTTTTTTTTTACCCGGCAGTAGCACAGCACAGCTGCTGGAGGGGAAAGCGAAGTTTTTTTCCCAGCAGACAGCCTGGGAAAAGAAGGGGGGGTAGTTGGTGATGGAGAGAGAGACACAACAACTGATGCTGGGGGGGGGGATGGGCGAAAGGGGTCACGCAACAATTTCCTTGGGCGAAAAGGGGTCACGAGTTGTTCATCCTCAACAACTACATAACTATGTAACCATGTGGAAGAGCAGCAAAGTCCACCTAAACACTCTCCAGCGGTTAGGCAAGCTTGGGGATGGTGGCCGTGTTTAGGTTTGCAAGTAGGCCTGAGGCCTCAGTGAGGAGAGTCTCCTGAAGAAGTGTGGCCAAGGATGGATGGGAGCAGGTTCTAGCTGTCCTCCTGTGGGACAATGGTAAGAGCTGTCTGGCCTGGAGAGAGGTCGGGCACTGCAGAGCCAGATGAAAACCATGTGCGCACATTGCCAGACCAATGCATTAGCACATCTTGTGGCCCAGGACTGTTGGCACAAAGCAACTTGTCTGTCAATACTGCTTTGTTCTGTAGTGACATAGGGTTCAGGTGACTAACTGAAGTACCACTTTTACTGCAAAATGGTATACCTGCTGTAGTAGCAATGAACATTGTTGTGCCGCAGCACTTAGTGGGCCAGGACTGTTTGCACACAAACTCGTCAACACTGTTTTGGCCCTGTAGGATCAGAGAAAGGGACCACGATATGCAGAGGGGGACCATCCAATACTCCTTAAAATGTCAAAACTGCAGCATACCTTTTTAACAGGTGTCTTTTTGGCTGGTCACATGATGTCCTGTAATCCTTACTCTTCTCCAGTGTTGGCTCTAGGCTTCAGAGAACAGCACTTACGTTGAAGTGAGCACTGTTTTTGGCAGCATTGTACCATTTAAAAAACCTGAAGTTGAGTCCATAAACAAAAATTCCTGTGCCATGAGAATGGTACTATTGCAGCAAAGAACCAGAAATGTTTGGATAGTCCGTCTTGGGTGTGCTCTCATGGGGTGGACACTTGTTTACAGCATGGAAAGTTGAGAACAACCAAAGACTGTTACCATAGTAATGAACTCGCTAACACTTCTCCATGCAATACTATAATTTAGGACCATACCTCTCACATATCCTAAAATACAACTAGAGTATAGTTTTAGAGTGATTTTATTTTCATGTTTCATGTCTGCTCAATATAACCTTGGTTATTTCTCACTAATTGCACTTTTTAGGATCAATAAAAACACCAAAATGTAAAATTTAGTTCCAGGGAACAGTGTTTAGCAAAAACAAACCTGAAAAAACCTCTATCCACAGCAGAGCGGTTCATGATGACAGAATCCTCCTGGTTATATCCAGTATAAGATGCAATAGCAACAATAGAATTGATGCCTACAAAAAAAATGAAAAGGATACATAAGAATTAATCACTGTAAATATACCACCCAAAACACTGACAATAGTGGGCATTCAAGACTATAAATAACAGCACCTTCAGAACTAAAATGCCTGGTAAAAAACTGTTAATCCCTTATCAGCCACCAATAATGACTGTAGCATGGAAGTAAATATGGCTAATGTCAGATCAAATCCATTTCCCTGTAATGACAACAGGCACATACATTGTTCACTCTGTAGTGTACACACCCCAGTAGAGAGTCTTTAATCATCAGTGTCCATGTCCCCACAACCAAATGTTCCCTTAATAGTTTGCACATTATCCTAACCCCTGTGCTGAACTTTTCCCAGTGTCTGCATTTTACAATTACCGAAGGGACACAGAGGATCCAGCTGCCAGGCTCCCAGAGGGAGGGAGAGAAGCATTCAGGAGGCTGATGTGGGGAGGAAACAGTTCTCAGTGTAGGGAGGAGAGAATGGTCAGCTGTCACAGGAGCCGAGCTCTACTCCTGCACCGTCCCGCTTGGCCTCCTGTGACAGGCAGAGTAGTCAGGATGGAGAACAGGTTACAAGCACTCAGCTATGTTATGAATTACCCAGTTATGAATGAACAGGAAGTTATCTACATCACTTCCTGTTCATTAATTCATTATTGTGGACATAGTAACTGACACTATCTCCAAAGTTTATGATGGACAGGAGCACTCAGTATAGAGGCTCCCTGTTCATTCATAACAGGGGCTGCAGAAACAGACTATGTCCACAATCTCTTTTTTTATTTTAAAAAGGGAAATATCAGGGGTCTGTTTAAACCGCAAATATCTCCCCAAAGACCCCGACTGTAAAGTAAGGTAAAAAAAAAAAGAATAGAGCAAATAAAATAAAAAAGTAAATTTATTTAATTTTATTTTTCAAGATGGGGGCGGGGGGCTATTGTCATTTTCGGTCTGACAATTTTAGTTTTCGGTCGTCTAGGTTTCAGTGCATTCCTAGTTGACACACCCTCTACAATCCTCTACTATACATACTGGCCCCTCTTATACCTTCTGGCACTCTTTTTTTGCAAATACTGTACACCATCATACATTCCAGCACTCCTATACATAGAAAGCTTTCATTTCCTACTTCTCTGCAGAATTGTACACATTGTAGTACTTCTTACTAACACTTCTCCCACACTGATTGTAATATTCACAACCCTGCCTGCTCTGGTAAAAGAATACTTTTGCAATTAGTAAATAACTCCATATATCCAATGTTTAAACATGTTATTTGCTAAAACAGACTTTTCACTAAAGAACACATTTAACTAAACTATAAAAATAGAATGCTATACCATTCAAAAGGTAAATCCATAAATATTTTAGATTAGTATAGAAGATATTTACCATAAAAATAAACTACAAACCATACGCTTGCATGTGTATTTGCAGTTTTACATCCCTATTTTCAAATGCCATCAGCAGCAGTTTACGATTTCCAGCTACAACTGTTTATTACAGAGCAGTGTAATTTTTTTATATCCCAGCTAGGGGGTCATTTATTTATAAAATTATTAGGATACTGAAGGGACACAATATTTTTAGGTTAAACAGTATTTTTTTCCCCCGAGGAATTACCTTCCAAGAATGGTTTCAATTTTATATATTTAAAGGAAAAACAGTGGGGGAAAAAAGGACAGTTGGGGATTAATAGCATAAGCACAGCTGCAGCTAAGAAAAAAATAAAAAAAAATAATGTTCTAGTGATCAATTAAGCAGAACCTGACAGCAGCTCCTGTACAGAAACTTTGAACTTGGCAGTTAAACTGGCAGATGATCCTAAAGGCTAAATACACTAGTGAGGACACTTTAGGACATGAGTCAGCAAACTTTTTCACATTGTCAATTGTCTACAAGAGTCAATTTACAAGCATCACACATCCAATGTGCAGTGAACAATACAGTGCCGTAGTTCTCAGATCAGCCCCAAATTATGCACCTTAAAAACGCACCGGTTTTTTCATTTATAAATGCTTCAGCTGGCGGTTCCACTTAGAGTAGGGTAAGTAGGCAGGCTCCTTCATGTCTGCAGCTACAGACTTGCCTACGGTGGTTCTTGGAGGTGGGCCGGGACCTAAATATCAGATGGGCCTCCCTAAACTGTCATGGAGGTGGGTGATCCGTGTGCCTAGTGAGCCGTCAATTACAGCCTTTGGAAAAGGCGTAGTATTATTATAAAGCAGGGGCCCCACCAAAGAAACATCTGGTGGGCTAGTCCAAGCCTGCACGGATGCCACGTGACAATCTTACAAATGCTACTAAAAATGGCACTGTGTGTGGGCCCTAGCACGCAAGCCTTAGGTTGCCTACACAAGGTATGTAAATAGTACTAAAATATGTTTTATGAAGTATTCCTTATATTAATATACTTACAAAATAATAACCTTATCTTATGGAGTTTATCCAGGGTGCTAAAAAGATTTTTGTATAAAACTTGTCTACCGAAGGCTGGAAACCAAAATTTAAAAAAACCAAGAAAACAAATACAAAATGAGTTTATATTCAAGAAAGACTGAAAGATAAAAGATGTAGCAAATGTTTAACATGCATAGTTAAACCTGACAAAAGAAAAAAATTGTTTCAAAAAAAGGAGAATTATGAGGCGAGTGATTTTCACTCAGCCTCATAATCTGAGCCGACGTATGACAGTGAAACTGTCACAGGTCAGCTCAGTAGATCGGGAAGTGAGAGAACACATACCGTTGCTCTGGATGGGCAGAGCCAACTGTTAATCCCGCAGCTAGGTGGATCCAGACAGAATTGTCGGGATCTATTTCGGCTGCAGCGTCTCTGTATACCGCGAGCTGTAGCTCGTGGTATACAGAGCTTTGGGTCACGGGAGAACGCTAGTTTGCATTCTCCCGCGACCCTCAGGAGAACTATGGGGAAAAGCCCTGACCCCATAGTTCTCCTTTAACATCTTTACTAGATTACTAAAGCAAGATATAAGAAGCCAATGGAACTATGGGCAAAAAGGGTGCCCCATAGTTCTCCTTTAGGGTCACGGGAGGATATATACTAACATCCTCCGGTGACCCAAAACTCAGCATACAGTGGGCTAATACCCGCTATATTCGGAAAGCACCGCAGGCCGGGACAAATCTCGACAACACTGTCAAGATGCACCTCGCTGGCTCACAGCTGGCTCTACCTCTCTAGAGGCAGAGCCAGCTGTGGCTGCCTCCTCCCCATCCGTTCCTCCAGTCAGTCTGACAGTCACTGCTCTCTGCAGTGAGAGGATTGGGAAGTCAGTAATCGGCGGAATGTGTTCGCTGACTTCCTGATCAATAGCACCGATCTGTGGCAGCTTCAGTGTCAGAGGTTTGCTTGAATTATGAGGATGAGTGTTTTTCACTCACCCCATAATTCTCCTTTAAAATGAGCACTATGGGGTCCAATCTATTCTTTAGTTTTGGATTCCATGGGCTATAGGAGTACATTTTGCAATTTACTCCTATAATCCCAAATGTATCCTAAACATACAATTGTTACTTTAAGATACTGTCGGGATCCTCCCACCTGATCATTCGTTACTGTGACTGACGGCGCTGCTTGAGAACTGCTGCGCGTCCACGAATATATGGGCATGCGCAGCAGCTATCTCCCTACCTCCACGTCCCCGGTGCCAGCAAATGGCAGCGCTTGTATGGAAGGCCGTTTCTCCTAACTGCCTCCACCCCTCCTTCCTCTCTCTCCCCGTTTTGAACATGTGCAGCAGTTGTATGGAAACCTGTTCCCCGTAAATCTTAGTACCCCCCTGCCGTTCAGCTATTACCACTGACTTGTCTCTCCAAGAGCTCACAATGTGAGAGGAGACATTCGTCTCTTTCTCATAGAACACTGGAGCTTGCAGAGAGGGGGCGGGGCTATGTAAATACTAAGCGGCTGTAAGGAAGGGGCGGGATTATGGTAATAGCTGAACGGCATGGGCAACTAAGATTTACGGGGAACAGGTTTCCATACAACTGCCGTAAGCATCAGATTACCGAGACAGAGCAGGGGAAGATCGGTGAAGAGAGAGGGAAATACTGGTAAGAGAGAGGGAAAGAGAAGGGAGGCTGAGTCAGCTTATTGCTTCAGTTGCCTCCCGCTCCCACATGTCAGCGTGCACACTCCAGCCGTACACAGTGTGCATGACTAGAGAAAGTGCGGCCACGGCAGATAGAAAGAAAAAAAAAAAGCTGAGGGCGGGGCTGCATTCACTGTTAACGCCCCCTAAGAGGAAAGGAGCATAACTGCAGGTGGCCGTTTTCTGTGACTTGTGATTCATTTATCTAGGATGTGCTGCAACTTTGGAAAAGAAGAATGCTAAGAGAGTAAAGGCAAGAAGTACTTTTATTTGCCCTTAGGTCAATATTCTCCTTTAAAAACGTAGTGCACACTAAGAAAATCCAATGTATTATACACTAAAACAGACCATCATCCCAAGATTTGCCCGTTCCATGCGTTTTAGAAGCTACTAGGCATTCTCCCTCAGAATTCATGTTTAAAAAGACAGAAGAAAACCCAAAACACTTTATGCAATTTCCAGGAGTCTTTCAGGACAGTACCTGACAGTACGACTCCACTCACCATAGCTAGGAAACAATTGCCTTAGACTTTAAAAAGGAGGTCTATCTTTGCAGTCAGCCAATATTTGAAAGAACAAAACATGGAACTTAACTGAAAGACAGTGATATGAAAACAATAGGAAGGAAGACTCCTGGAAATAGCGTTAGCTGTCAGACTTTCCCCAATCTTCTATCCAGGGCAGTACATGAGTGGATAAGGACAGGTTAGGCAGAGACAAAAGTCTTTCGGACTTTTCACCCAAAAGACTGATCCTATGTAAAAGGTGGGTCACGGTAATGGTGGTGAAAGAATGTAGAACCATTTGACCATGTAGCCACTTGACATGGTCAGGAGTGGCACCTGCATTCTTATCCCAAGAGGTAGCCAAAAGGTGGCAGCATG